GGGCTGAAAGGAGGCGGTTTATTTTTGAGGCAAACGGTAAGGAGATGTTACGGTCCAGAGACTTAAATTAGCATCAGTATGTCCACCCGGAGCAGGGGCACTTACATGACCCATCAGCCCTCTCCCCACCTCTGTGGGTTTTTTTTTTTCCCCCCCATCCCTCCCACAGACTCGTGACAAACATTGCCCCAGCTCAGCCTCAGGACAGGGTTGCTTCGTCAGGCTCTTCCCAGTCGAGTGCGAGGTGCCCGGTTCTTCCCAGCGGCGACTCAACCCCTTATTCCTGGGCTGCCTCCGGCGCAGCGGGCTGCTTGCTTTGATCGTCACCCTTCTTTTTGTGCCCCGAAACAATGTCATCGATGCGGAGGAGGAGAACTGCAGTCTGGGGAGAAGCCCCATACCCAGGGCTAGTCAGGAGCTCATCACAAAGAACAAAATCCAATCCACCCAGCTTTCACACCAAAAGAACCATCTGCCTTTGATTAAATGATTCTCTCGGCGCAGCACATGGCAGCACAGCACGACGGAAAGGCCACGGTGCCCATCAAGGCAGGTGGGAGCAGTCAGCGGCTCCGGCACCTGGCAGGGACGCCCCATGGAGAAGGGGACACCGATTGTTTCTAGTTGACTGACAAGAAAGGGACACAGCATCCCTTCAAGCAACTGCCTTTGATCCAACACCAGCGAGTGAATGCTCAAAATGTGATCTTTTAACAAGGAGAGGGCAGCTTACGCAAGGCCGCTCAGACGATCCAAAGGACAGAAGCTCCCAGGGCCGCTGACTGGATTCCAGCACATTGCTGGCACTGAATTTCTCAGTCACGGCTCCGGCTGTCACTCGGAGCAGCCCATCCTTGTGGGACTAACTAGCTGGCACAGTTTGCAGAAAAAGGTGGGATGGAACACAACAAATTTTAGCCACAGATCCAAAAAAAAAAAAATCAACCCTTCTGAAAGGCCGAATATGGGCTCCCACGGGTGCCGCATCCCTCATCACGCCTCCTGCGTCAGCGAGCTGAAACACTGGCACGCACCACGCTCAGTTTGTGGTGCTTACCCAAACATCCAAGGGCACAAGCACTGACATTCCCCTCTCCCAAAAGACGTGCTGCAGAGGCTCTGCAATTTCTGCCCCCCCCCCTTACCTCGACCGCTGTTTTGTAGGTTTGCAATTTGACTGCTAAAGGCTCCCAGATGCCCAGGTCCTTCATATCAACCAGGGCACCAGTCTCGCCATTCACTCCCCACGTCTGGCTGCCTTCTTGAGTGTGTTTTGCCTGCAAGCAGAACGACAGGTCACCACCGATGGAGTGAGACAGCAAATTCACCTTTGGAAACTCAAACCGACCACGGGCTCAGGAAAATAGTAAAAGGTCATTAGAGTTTTCTCAATTTCGGAGTTTATACAAGAGCACGTTACCGAGCACCACTTGAAACGCTTAGTTATATCAGAAGTTAGACTTGGAGATATTCCCTCTCGTGCCATCCAATCTAGTCTCAAAGGAAGAATTTTGATCTTGTTCACCCTCAGGGTTTTGTTGTTTTGGTTTTGAACTGGTACCTCAAACAAGCTATTTAATTCCATTTTCATGCTTTCAAATTCAGCACAAAACTGCAGTAAAAATGTTTGCAGCCCAGCTAATGCAAAAAAAAAAAACAAACCAACAACCAACAAGCATCTTTCGGTCACCTTCAACGGATCGGTTACTTCAACACAGGTTTCCTGTCATGTTGCCTGCAACCTCAATGATTCTATGATTCTATGGTTCTACTAAAAAGCTGCACCCTCACAGCCTGACAAGCTGCCCCCACAAGGGCACTGCTATGGAAAGATGATCGATCTGAGGGGCAGGACACAGCAGGAAGGGGCCGATCTCTTCAGATGAGCCCATGCTACACGCCTTACCCTGAGCGAGGTCAGCACACGGATGGTACTAGCACCACAGTTCTGGATCAGTGTTCGGGGAATGACTTCCAGAGCCTGGGCTACCGCACGGTAGGGCCACTGCTCCACGCCCGTCATGCCTTTGGACTTCTCTGTCAGCGCGTGGGAAACGGCCATTTCGGTAGCTCCCCCTCCTGGCACCAGCTGCGGGTCGATGAGGACATTGCGACACACCTGCATGGCATCCTGAAGGTTGCGCTCTACCTCCTGCAACAGGCATAAGGGCACAGATTCATCGGTTGCAGGGAACTGTAGCACACCACCAGCTGAAAGTACAGCCCGCAGTCTGCCGGGCTGGTTCCTCTGCAGCGTACGAGTTTTGCCTTCACTGTACAGCCCAGCCCACAAGATGAGAATTCTTTGTTGCTCTAGGACCCAGAGGAAAACTCGCGCTTGCTTTATTTGCACACAACAGCTGCTCAAAGGCAAGCAATGACTTACTGACACCAAGAAGGTGGCCAGGACCGGAGGGGAAGCAGAACATGTAATAACTTACTGCCAGGATTTCCTTGCTGGCTCCACGCAGAATGATAGTGCAAGCCTTGGGGTCTTTGCAATCAGTGATGAAGGCAAAATACTCGTCTCCTATTTTTTTAACTTCAAAGAGCCTGGCTCCAGTTCCCACATCCTCCTCCCGCAGCTCATCTGTGCGACTCACAATGCGAGCTCCGCAGGCCCTAGCACACAAACAACAGCCAAGTTAGACGCTCACAAGTAAGAACTGGGGAGAAAGGGGAGAGAAGAATGAAAACGCCATGCCACAGACAGCAAGAATGGGCTCCAGTGAGGAGACAGCGTTCACCTGGCAATCCTGTTATTGTCTGTCTTTCTCACTCTGCGGATCGCGGTGATGTTGGCTTTCATCAGGTAGTGTTGGGCCAAGTCTGAAATCAGGTTTGTGGAATTTTATTGATGAATCAGCGGTATCATGACAAACTATGTGTCTTTGAAGTAAAAAGGGTTATGGAAAGAAAAAACTAAATTTCAGCTTCTTAAACCAAGCTGCAAGGCAAAATTACAGTGCAGCTTTCCATGGTTTGCTAGACTCATCCTCACATATTTCGATACCATTTTCAAATGCTAGAAAAGCAAAATATTATTTTAAGTGTCCATGTTCACAGGGCAACCTCAAGAACCAACTTCAATGCCTGCAACGTAGAACTATTTGCTAGAAAGCTAAAAACCAAAACAAAAACAGGGTCACATTCAAAATCAGGTTTGTGTTGTGGGGTGGTTTTGTTTTTTTTTTTAAAAGTTACTGAACGGTTTTTTGTGTGGTTTTGTTTTTTTTTTTAAAGTTACTGAACAGTGCATTTAATACAGCGTGAACCTTATTAAGATGAATTCAACACAAAGAGAGATCATGTGTTATTACCAGAAATTCCTTTTTCTGTGATGACCAGATCTGGCTTGACTCTCATCAGATCCTCGCAAATCTGCTGAATGTACTCTTCCTCCATCTGCAGGATGCGGGCAAAGTCTTCCTCCCGCGTTATTTCAATATCAGTCTGCACAGAAAGAGGTGTAAATATCTCACTGTATTCCTCCCAACCCTTCACCAAGTTAGACACAGATCCCCCGGCTTGAGCGATCTTAACTCCTCCAATATTGCCTGGGGAAGAATTAAGGAGAACTACACAATGAAAAATACTGATCAAGTAAACTGTGACACTGTGCCAGCTTAACATTAGTGTTAATTAAAGCACAGAAATATTTCTTCGACTCTTGACCATCACTTAGATACAGAAATCACTGTAGCTACTTCAGTGAGTAAAAGCACTGTAGCCTCGGTTATATTCTTCTACCTTTTTCTCCAGGGTACTGAGCCCACAACAGAATTAGCCCACACGTGCAAAAGGTCTCTGAAAGGCAGAACACAAAGACAGCCTTCTGCCACTCATGCTTTTAACTAGCTACCTGGATTTGTTCACTTCACTAGTCTTAAATCAAGAGTTGCGGACATCTCTAACAGGATTTGCTTTACCTGGCTCTCTCCTTTCTTGTACTCCAGTGAACAATCCAGAAGGACAATGCGTGGATTCTTAATAAGGCGACGCATCCTGGGATGAGTTACATCCTTATTCACCATGATTCCACGCAAAACACACGACTCTTCACTAAAACCACCTGGAATCTGACAGACACAAGAAAGGGGGAAAATGAGGCAAGTCAGTCTACTCTATGAAAACCTGTATATCTGTGCTCCTGAAACTACCCATCCCCTGCGTGGAAAAAGGAAAACTCTCTCAAGTAACCATGATGCATCCAGGTCACAATCTGAGTTAATTTTAAGGGCATGCTGACTTAGATTAAGTGAAAAGCCGTCGAAGAACTTGAGAAACTGCTCACATGCTATTGCCTGGCAACACGTGTTTGGAAGATGGAAACCGAAACAACTTAAGTGATCTTTTTGACAAATATTCTAAAAGAGTTGAAATAACTGCCCCTGTTTTCACTGGAAACCAGCAAGGCTGATAGCACTGACTAAAATATCCTCAAGGGTTATGTTGGCGGACTGCAGATCAGTAGCACAAAATTCTTCCCGCGGCATCCTAGGAACAACTAGTTCAGAATGAGAAAGGGGCACACAGATAAGAAATGGTTCAGGACACACTCACCTTTTCTACTTTTGCGTATTTTTTAATATCAATTTCCCTTCTGCCATTTTCTTCAAACTCCACAGTCTTAACAGCATCAAGAGCAATGCTACAGGCCAAGTCAGACCAGCGGTTTATTGCCTTGGTATTTATAGCACTCTTTATTATTTTAAGCATCATCTCTTTGTTGTTCACATCCACTGGAGTGCTGACACAAAGGAAAAATAAAACAGTAAATTGAGTATTACTCGAGGCTACAATCTATTCATAATTCCATCGAGTCCCTCTCCAATTATTTTAAGTTATATTTTACTAACATGATTCCCTGAAGAATCATCTTTAAGCAGTACAGAAACCCCATATCCCTTCTCTCTAACTCCCACCAGCCCATACTTACCCAATTTTCTTTAGAATACCGATCATGTCATCCAGAGCCTTACGATAAGCCCCAATGATCACAGTTGGGTGCATCTGCTGTTCGAGGAAGTGTTCGGCAACAGAAAGCATCTCCTAATAAAAAAAAAAAACCAAACAAAAAACATCAAAATTCCCCAGGTAAGTTAGTAGAACGATCAACAGTCAAGACAGGACAACAGCATACCAGACAAAAAGTATCTGCTGTCCACGTAGAGAGCTCCAACGTCATCAATACCTTTCTTTATACTTAACTGAGCTTATCTCAGGGAAAGAACACAACTTTCCAAAGCACGGAGCTGATCACCTAAGGGTCTAATGAACCTAGCATTCTCTTTTACAGTAAAAAAAGAAAAAAAGAATCAATTTTAGGGTTGGTAAATAACAAGTATCTGTCTCATTAAGGCACACTTACTGGGCTGTGATGAGCAAAAAGGGAGAATTTCAGCCTTAACCCTTTATAAAAAGCATGTCTTATTCACTCTCCTTACCAAGGATGATTACAGATGTGGTCCCATCTCCAACTTCTTCATCTTGAGTACGGCTGATCTCTATCATTGATTTTGCAGCTGGATGCTGGACTTGAATCTGTACCGGAGCAAGGGGTATGTTTTTGTTCCAGAACACTAAAGCTGAAACTTCTCGCATTGCTCAATGGAACAAATACCACACCTTTTAAACAATCAAAGGCATTCTGTCCCAACTACAGCAAAGATTTTTCTTCCTTTTTGAGACTGAAAATAAGCCCTTGTATTTTGCAATATTGTATCTCCTGCAGTTTTTCAGGCACTACGATTTTTGGAATGTTAGTTCATCAGCACTTGCACCAGAAAGACGACAATGATTTCTTGGTCTAATTATTTAGCATTGTAACAGCAAGCATCTACTTGTAACGTTTTGATGCTTATTACAGCTACAATTACAATGGAATTTACACCAGTCTTGTAAAACCTCCATGAAAACTTACCACCCTGGGATCAAACCTAGTTTTCTGAGGAGGAAGAGCATTTGCTGGAAATATTTAATTCCTCCCCAGTAAGCACCCTTCTTGGTACTGCTGTTTAGTACTCGCTGGCTCTCAAGACAGGAGACGAAATAACATAGTTCCATTGGCAGCTATGTAACTGTACCCTGGAAGATTCCGACTCACATGTTAAGCAAGACAATCCTTTAGGGGAAACTTACTTCTCTAAGAATAGCATTGCCATCATTGGTCATCACAATCCCACCCATGGGGTCCAAAAGCATCTGCAACCGAAAGAGAAGCGGTATTTGCACTGACCTATAATACGTGTAGTGTTTCTAGTCAGTATGCAGCACAGGTCTTTCAGCAAAAGTTCTTACCTTCATCATAGCTCTTGGTCCTAAACATGTTCGGATAATGTCAGCAATAGTCTAGGGGGAACAAAAGAAACAAGGCAATACAGGAGGACATCAAAAAGTCTAAAAGAACCATAGTCTCTATGAAACAAGCAGCCACTGCAAAATTTAAGTGACCCAATAACTCTGCAGTTGCTTAGATGCAGCAGAAGTTAAGAATTGTGTGGGAATGAGAACACAGGGATTGTAAGAGCACTGGCACCACACTAAATTATTATCTAAATCAGATGTCAAAACTTACACACTTTCAGATTTGGCAGAGAAAGAGGTTTTGGTGGGTTCGTCCGTGTTCAGTTACATTGCACCTATTATTTTAACACTGAAAATTCATTTTCTATGCTTCTACTCTGGATTCATACAGACTAGAGAAAACATGCTTCAGATCCAGTTTTCCCTCTTAAATATATATATATGCACACACACACAAAAGAAAAAAAAAAAAGAATCAAAATAGCCTGACATGAAAATATGGTACCTTAGCAGCAGTGATGTTTCCAGTCTGGACTTTTCTTCCAGACTCACGTTTCATATTCTGACCTGAAGTGCATAGAAAAAAATGTTAAAGCACATATATTACTTAAATCTGATCTTACTAAGAAGTCCAAGACTGATACTGACAATGCATCAAAGATACCCCTCTCAGTCACACACACTTGATATAGGACCAGTTCTAAATTAAGAATTTGCGATATGAATACCACAGCCACTATAAGAAAGCATATTCATAGAAGAGTGTCGGCGAAAAACAACATTCCTTATTAAAACAGAATTCCTGATTAGCATCATAATTCAACCGAGACAAAACTTTGCAACCCTGAAATATAACCTATTCCCCCAAGAAAATCAAACAGCGGTGACTCACTAGAATTTGCAAGATCCCACAAAGCCTAGGAACTGCTGCACAGTAGTTTTCAGTCAAAAAAAGTTACAGATGCTCCCGCACAGTAAGTACAACAAGTGGTTTAAAATTAGGCTTTATACATCAGTGTTGCTCAGCCTTTGGCACGTTAGGGTGAGTAGCCACTGCTGTACCATAGGCTTACAAGCCTGTCTGGGGACCAGCTGTCAAAAGGGTCTGCCCTAAAGAATCTCTAGGCTTGGTGCTGCTTTCTTTTCTTACAAGCCTAGATTGGATGAGCATAGATTTACTTCAGGAGTGGATGCTTGCGCACATAGATTTGTAAGACAGAGCAAAAGAAAGCAACGGTAAAAAGCAGTGCCAAGAATAAGGTAGGCGGGCCTACAGCAGAGGGGCCCTGGGTCACAACAGCCCGCCTCTTGGGTTAACGGTGAACAGAGCAGATGGCGAGGCGAGACCGAGAAACCCCAGCAGAAAGAGACCCCCCCAGGAAAGCCTCACGCTGGAGGGTGGCGAGAGTATCACAAAGCGCAAGGGGTTCAAATGGGACAGCACAAAGCAACGCACGAGGAGACAACAGTTGAGAGAAGTCGAGATCCGTCAGGAAAGGTTTATGAGGAGCGGGGGCTCCGATGCCCCGAGACCTCCCGCGCAGGGAGCAAAGTGGGGCCGCGGGTGGAGGGGGGCACGGCCCATCAGGACCGGGCAGCGGCTGTGGAGAGCCTGCGGGGACCG